GGGGGGAGGTTTTCTGTTGTTGCTGCTTGTTGTTATATGTGTGATTGTTGTTGCCTTTTGTTGCGTTTCTTGACTGTTTGTGTTGCTGTGGCAGTTTTTGCTGTTGTTCTTGCTCTCAGAGATGTTGATGTAGGTAGTATTGTTGGTGTTGCTGTTGGTAGTGATGGTGGTTGTGGTGATAGTGTTGGTTCTGTTGTTGTTGGTTGTTATTGCTCTTGATGGTGGTGTTTTTGTTGCTGCGGATGTCATTGTTTTTATTCTTGTTCTGCGGGTGGTTGGCGGGTGCTCTGGTGGGGTTTACTTCTTATTTCCCATGAAACGTCTATCGTCCTAATCTCACCTTCTTCTTTTTAAAATGTTTGTTACTCTCTTGTAACACCTCTAATGTTCTAGTGCTCATATGATCTTATGCAGTTGCGATCGCCGTAAAACCTCTACTTAAACTAAAACTAACATTCTTGTTCTGGCTATCGTCCTTAGTGTTGTTGTTATTGTGACTATTGAGTCTGAGCCATATCATCAGACGCTTGGACTGATTGACCCGCACCTGCTAATTGTCGTCAATATTGAGACTGACAATGGTCGTTCGTAATTAATGTAGTGTTGAAACTGATTACTGTCGTCAGTATCGGTGGTGAAAGAGGAAGCAGATGAATTTTTTAAAAATTTCAACACAAAACACAACAAAACAAAACAAAAACTAAACAAACAGAAGGTAAAGGAATTCTGATATTGTCAATTGTTGCAATCAAACGCAGTTATAATATTTTGGACATCTCTTTTTGGACCCATGAAGGCCTGTCGCGATTTGTGTAAAGAAATGCATAGCGGCAGCCTACTTTTGTGTTATACATGAAACCATTTACTACAGTCTGCTGTTGTTACTAAACCAGGGCTTTCAACACCGAGATGCTTCAATATTTCGTTGTTGTTGTCGTTGTTGTTGTTGTTGTTGTTGTTGTTCTCGTTCTTCTTCTCTTCTTCTTCTTCTTCTTCTTCTTCTTCTTCTTCTTCTTCTTCTTCTTCTTCTTCTTCTTCTCCTCCTCCTCCTCCTCCTCCTCCTCCTCATCATCATCATCATCATACCCAAAAGAGAAAGGGATCTGAGGTTGAATTTGAAATCCTGCCAAATATTGCACGTTTAAAAAGTTTGGGAACTGCTGTGTCTACAACCAACAGAATTTTACTAATTTACAAGGCAAGCGCTTTGAAATAACAATCGTGTACATTTTACCGCAGTATTTATTATACACATATTATATCGCCTTACCTGGTGCATCACTGTCGCTGTCTCCTCTATGCCAAACACACGCAGGAATTCCTCATAAGATACCTGTGACATTTGGGAGAGGGGGCGGGGTGGTAAGGAAA